GCTCCAACAGATGAATGCAAAGCAGGAGGTACTTGCTTGTATCTGTCATGGATTCCAGAAGACAGCCCCCTGGCCAAGCCAATGGAAGAGATCCATATTTGTGCCCACTCCAACGAAAAGTGACCCGACAGAATGTGGAAATAATCTAACAATATCATTAATACCACGTGGAAGTAAAATTTTGCTGCAGATCATTCAAAAATGGTCACAGCTGGACACCTCAACTGGTAACTGCCAGAAATTCAAACCAGATTCAGAAGAGGGCCTTGAAGGAGAGATTCCATTGCTGGTGTCAAATGGATCTTGGCTGAAATGAGAGAATGCCAGCCAGAATCATTGCCTCTATTTCATTGACCTTGCAAAGGCATTTGTCCATGGAGATCATAAAAAATATGGTTAACGCCAAGAAGAATGAGGACTTCCGGACACTTCACTGGGCTCGTGCAGAACTTGTCCATGGACCTAGAGGCCATGGTTGTATACACGAGGATGCACTCTGGTTTAAAATCACGAGAGGTATGCACCAGGGTTGTATCCTTTCACCATACGTATTCAGCTTATATGCTGAGCAAGTCCTCTGAGCCCCGGAGCTCTGGGAAGAAGAATGCAGCGTCAGGGTTGGATGAAAACTCATGAGCCACCTGCAAGGTGCAGGTGACACAGTGAGATGGGATGTTCAAAATTGTAATCTCTATAGGTGCCTTCTTTGGGGAGACCAAGATTTGGGGAAAGGTAGTTGGTTTGGAATTCTCTGAAAGGGTAAATAAACAAACAAACAAACCGTGATTGGCATGTGACTCGGACCACGATGACTCGGTAAGACTGAGCAGGACTGCTCCTCAGAGTTTCCAAGATGATCATTTTGGCAGAAGCCAGCTAGCAGAACCTTCTCCTGTGGAGCAACTGAGGGGTTCAAAGCACCAGTCTTTCCGTTGACAGGCAACTGCTTCACCACTGCATCACCAGGGCTCTCTGGAAGGACAGCCCAATACAGCCGAAAGACCATTGGAAGCATCAATGGATGCCAGGAACGCTTGCCCTGGGAACCCTGAGCATGTGCCTTGGTCCTGTGGCATCTCTCTGCTCCATCTGCCCCTTTCTTTCACTAACTGCAGGTGGTATTTGTCCTGCAAGCATTCCGGAGCCCCCTCCCCGCCCTTCATGATTTAATCAGACACTTCTCGGACCTCCTGATTGCTCTTGGAAAGAAGAACTTCAAAGTTGGGAGAGCCAGTGAATAATTGAAGCGGGCAAGACGCTCTGGGTCTGCTGTTAATGGGCATAATAACGCTATTAATAGCGATGTCAGAGCAGACACCCTGGAAGAGTCCATAACATTAGCTTAATGGCTGCAGGTAATGGAGTCCTCCCCGGCCGACTGGGAAATTAACTCGCAAGACTGGGAGGCCGCCATTCAGGCTGCCGTTGGTCGGTGAGGGAGGCAGAGGAACAGCTTGAGGGATTCCAAATGCCTCCCTGGCCTTTGACTCGGGGATGGGGTGAGAGAGAAGGAGGCCAGGAGGATTCCTCTTGGCCTCCTACTCAGAGTTACAACCAATACTCAGAAGAGCTTCAAAGAAAAAGGATCACTGGCGATGTCTGTCCCAGAAGAAGGTTGTTGGTGTTTGCTGGGTGCCCTAGGGTTGATTCTGACCCCTGGTGAACCCCTGTTGCCGAGTCCCGCTGCCCAAGGGGTTTTCTAGATTGTGGCCTTTGTGTAAGCAGGTGGGCAGGCCTTTTCTCCCATGGACTGCTGGTGGGTTTGAACCACTGACCTTGCCGTTGGCTGCTAAGCATTTAACCAGGGTGCCACCAAGCCTCCTTTAGAGAAGATGATTGACGGGCGGGGATTGAAGTCCTGTCACTTGAAAAACAAACTCACCACCATCGAGTGGATTCTGACTCATGGTGACCCTCTAGGACAGGGTAGAACTGCCTCTATGGGTCTCTGAGAATGTAACTCTTTATGGGAGCAGAGAGCCCCGTCTTTGTCCCAGCAGTTGGGAATTGCTGAACTTACAGTTCGTATTGCAGTTCGTAACCCATTAGGCCACCGGGATTCCCTTACGTCAGTGAAGGGAAGGGGGTTCTGTCTGCAGCAGGAGGGTCTGTCCTTGATCGCCTCCATTGCCCTGTCTGGAAGCTACAGGGAAATGGGAGTCTGAGCCCCAGAGTGCAGGCTTTGGTGTCCACCTGGGTTCAAACACGGACTCTCTCGGGGCAGTTGGAGGACTCGGCGGACAAGCTCCCGAAGCATTCCCCTCTCGGGCACCTATCTACAAGGTGGGGCTTTCAGGTGGCACCTTCTCACCTGGAGCCCTGCTGTGAGGACGAATAATAAACATGTCACCCCCATCACAGAGCACGACCAGCGCTCAACAGCTGTCCCTGTTGCCATTGGACCCCATGGAGTTGGTCCCATGTGACCAACTAGGACTGTTCCCAGGGGCTTTCTAGGTTACGGTCTTTGTTGGAAGGAGAGCTCTGGAGGCAACATCTTTAGCACGCTCAGCTGCTACATGCAAGGTTAGGAGTTCGTTCCCCCCAGCTATACTGCAAAGAATAAAGTGGCAGTCATCTACCATAAAGATTACAGCCTTAGATAGCAATTGCACAACTCTTCTTGATGTGGCTGAATTATTCAGCTGCATGACATGTGGATGAAGTGCCAATAAAACTGCTTAGAGAAAGAGAGAGATTAGCCTTAGAGACATACGAGGCAGTTACTTTCTTGGTGGGATGCTATGAGTTGGAATTGACTCAAAGATAAGCAATCCGTGGATTGCAGTTGGGGAGTTGATTGGTTGGTTTTTGTTTACATGGGAGTAGCTGGCCAGGTCTTGCTCTGGAATCACAGATCCCTTCAAATGCCCAACCTTTAGTTTAATGACCCAGCACTTAAACCATGGGGCCACCAACACTCCTTACTCAAAGGCCTGAAGCCAACCTCCAAGTTCACTGCCATCGAGTCTTAGAGACCCTAAAACACAAGAGAGAACTGCCCCTGTGGGTTTCCAAGACTGTAACACTTTACAGGAGTAGAAAGTCTCATCTCTCCTGCAGAGAAGATTGTGGTTTCAAACTGCTGGCCTTGTGGTTAGCAATCAGACAAGGAATGCACAATGCAACCAGGGCTCCTCAGCCTGAAGCCACGATGCTTCAGGGGTATGTTTCTCTCTCACAGTCCACATGAATGTCTGATCAGCTCCTCCTTTGTGCCTCCGAGCCTCCCTTTCCTTCTTAATCCCCAAGGGGCAGCGTCAGTCTTCGGCCTTCAGTGATGCTTCACTAGCTAAATCCCCTCTCAGACACTCCCCCGTTAGTTCACCCTTCCTCTGAGCCAGTGAATCACCCCAAGACCAGAGTTGGATGTCTGGGGGCAACTTCCTTCCCACACCGCACCTGCGGCAGCTAAGCTCTCTCCCTTGTCCCTTCCCCATGTCCTTGGCAGCTGTGTTCTCTCCTGGACTCTTTGACTAATGCTCCCTCTACCCTGACAGGACCATTCTGCTGCAACATCTTGTTAGCCAGCAGACACCAGCCCCTCAGGAGTGAGTTTCCTGAGTGTCTCATCCTGTGGCAGGACGGGCCCCCTGGGGGTCCTTAATAATGGTGTCTGGTGAAGCTCCCTGTCCACTCTGCTTACCTGAGATTGATGAGATACTGCTTCCTACAGCTCAGACCCTACCCGACTGTCAACTGCTATTGTGAGGCAGAGCTAGGCGTGCCCCCAACCTCAGAACCTAAACACCACCCCCCAAGAGGTTACCTGTATACCTGGGTGATGCCCAGAGCAATTAGGGGGATCTTTCACAAGCCCCACCCCTTGCCCCAGTTAGGACTGTAAGATCCCAAGTCACACTGGCCCTAAGGTGACCCAGTGACCTCACACGACATTCAGTACCTTACAGCATTCCAACCCAACTCACCCTCTGGACCACCGCACTGTGGTCTGTTGATCCTTCCCACCTACCCCACCAACTGCCATCTGCCTTCTCCTTCCAAGACCTGAGAGACACAGTCCTCCAAAATAAGCAGACATGGTTTCTGCTTTTGAGAAGCTCATATGTGGCGGGAAAGGACTTTATCCAGCCCAGTAAGCCCCATAGAGGCAGGCAAGTTCTGGACCGCCGGAAACCCCAATGGGCTGTAGAGCCAGGAGAAGGACACTCATGGCTCTGCCCGGCTGTGGTGGAGAGGGGTCGCAGATGAATGATGGTTGAACCCTGCCTAGAAGGGTAGGTAGGAGCTGGTCAGGTGGCGAATGGAGAGAAGGCCATCTAGCCCAGGAGGTTCTCAACCTGTGGGTTGCAACCTCTTTGGGGGTTGAACGACCCTTTCACAGCAGTCACCTGATTCTTCACAGGAGCAAAATGACAGTGATGAAATAGCAACAAAAATAATTTTATGGTTGGAGGGGGGGGGTCACCACCACATGAGAAACTGTATTAAAGGGTCGCAGCATTAGGAAGGTTGAGACCTACTGGTCTAGATGAATGGCTATTGATGCAGACAAGGAGACCCGGATGAGACGTGATGTTGGTGCGAAGACCAAGGCTCTGCTTGCCTCATGAGGGAGGGGCAAGGCCAGTTCTAGGGATGTCTGAGGAGCTAAAGAAGACCAGGAAGGATGTCCGAGCCCTTGGTAGAGAGTGATAAGTGTAGGATGATTCTGCAGGGTGGTGAGAGTTTGTGTGGCCCAACCCAAAACAAACAGACAAACTCACTGCTACTGAGTTGATTCCAACTCATAGCAACCCTATAGCCAGGGTCGTGCTGCCCCAGTGGGTTTCCAGGACTGGCAACAGTTGACTGGGTTTCCCACACTCTTCACACTGGGCCAGGAGAGGAGGGATGGGGAAGGAAACACAGCGAGTGTGTGAGGAGCCCAGGGGACACTCACCCTGGGTGCCATGGCTGACAGGCCTGACCTCAGAGTCAGGCCCCTCCCCGGACAAGGGACCTTCTGCTCCTGGGTCAACCTCCTCTGTCCTCCCCAGGTGCACCCGGAAGGGACAGTGTGAGCGTTCCCGGGAGCCCCGCAGGTTTGCCTCGGAGATGAAGCAGTGTGTCCGGCTGACAGTCCATCCCAACAACATCTCCGTCTCCCAGTACAACGTGCTGGTAAGGGCCATGGGGTCAGGGCTGAGCATGCAGGAAGACCCTCTGCCCACCACTCAGAACCCATCCAAGGCCCCTTGGGGGGCTGGGCCTGGCTGCTCTATGGAGCGATGCCCATTGGGGATGGGAGAGAGGATGCCACCAGACTGCGGCGAGGAGTAAAAAGGCATCAGGGGTGAAAAGACAAGGATCGCAAGGCCAGGAAAGGGCCAGAGTGGCGTCTATGTCCATCAAGGAGAAGGGCCAGGGGGTGGGGGGCGGATGCTGTCCATGTTCTTGCCCCGGGCAGTTGGTACGCCATGTCACCATTATTTTCCCCAAACTGGGATGAACGCTAGAGGTGCTTGGTTGTAGTGCTCCTTCTGGTCCTGCCCTGTAGTGCTTATGCCCTTCACAAGCCACGCCCATCCCCGTTTGCCGGTGCCAAACCCATCAGCGTCTGCATGCCAGTTCTCACACCTCTCCCTCGGCCTCCCTCCCGCTGCCTTCTACAAACTGCTCTGGTCCAACACTGGTTCTGGCCTTCCCCGGGTTAATGTGGTCCTGCATGGTCCTCTCTCCGCCTTTTCTCTGACCTCACGCTCTCTTCCTGCCCCCATTCCATGCCCTTTTCCCATCTCTCTCTCCTTGGCTCCCTCTGCCTGCTCCCTGGCTCCCAGCTGGTCCTGGAGACATACAA